TCGAGCCTATGTCACGGCTTTTTCATGCCCCCATTAACTTCGAGGATTTCTCTACCAGGATTTTTAGCGAGTGCCGATTTACTGAGAGAAAAAAAGAAAAATACTCGAGAAGGGCGGGTGTGCAGAGGTTTCAATTTAGCCTCCAGTGTATCACTCTGAATGCTCGTTTCTTGTTACCCACCCCTCGGGCTTTTTGTAGAGGAGAAAGGAAAAAATCGTGCGTGAACCTGGCGTTATATTTCAGACGTGACCCCCTAATTGACCCATGGAAAATCACCCATAAATTCTCCTCAAACTAGCCATATTCTTCAAATCTACAACTCCCTTATTCCCTTGACACTCTAAATAACTTCTTCAAAAAAAAGTAACCACTTGATAATGATGATACAACACCAACAACCTATTTGTTCCGTTATAAAATTCATTTCCAAAGCAAGAAAAAAATTATGAGAATCACAATTTTGTTTTTAGTTGAGACTGATTACTAATTAATTCAAGCGTCCGAGAAAGGTGAAATAATTAGCGAACCGTCGCATTCTTTGATTATCTCATCAACGTTGTTATTATTTTCTCGGCATTCCACATGATCTATAATCTGATTTATCAAGGTGCCAATTATGAAAGTAAACTTTTATGAGGACATAACGTGATTGCATCATCGTCATGGAAATAATAAAAATCAATAACTCTTAGAGTACCGATAACCTGTGATCACATGATTACATGGCGTCATTGCAGAATTTTTCGTTCACAGTGAAAAGTTTCTAGTTTCCAGTAATAATTTCAAAACTTCAGACCTCGGTCGTACAGAAATTTAGGGAGCGAAAAATCTTCGAATTAAATGGAATTGGCATTCATTTTAGGAAAATTTTCCCGAAAAATAAGGAAAAAATTCTCATTTCCAATATTGAGAGATCAAACTCCCATTCTAGGCAATTCCGAAATTTTGAGATTGCGATTTAAGAATTTTTTTTAAAATCGGTATTTTACATGGCTCTCATTCGGTTTTGGTCTACTTGCGAAATCTTGATCCAGACTTTAAATGGTTAGATTGTACCATTCTACCCGCCCGAGTTTTGAGACCCCGGGACCTCGAGCATATGAGCCAACGAACTTACTGCTTCGGTCTAACACGAAGAGAATTAAATAGTAAACATTACCACGGCCATAGGAGAGATTACTATGGTAACATAGTAAAAGGATTTTCAACTGTCCCTACATTGTAATACTTACTATGTCCATAGAAATGGTTACCATGTGAATGGAAAATGTTCCTATGAACATAGGAAGTATCTCTAAAATAACCGGTTAAAATTCCAATTGTCTCTTGATGCGTTCATAAACTCAAAACGCTTGAAGCTTAAAGTCTTTAAAAAAAATTAACAAATTAAACTCTTCATTGGAAATTTTCCTATTAAATTCTCCAATATTTTTGTTCGAAATTTATATGTTTATTTAAATAATGAAGCTTCAATTATCGGGAATGAATAGTGCATTGATTTAAAGTAGATAATCAATTAGAAATAAATACACAATTTATTCGATTTAAACGAAGAATTATTACACGACGAGAAATTTTTGGTAAAAATTATCGTGAAATACAGGTAAAAATTACCCGGATGGAAGGGTAATTCTGTAGCAGTGTATTTTTAGAGCAATAAATATCCTTGGTGTGGATAGATTTTAATGAACATTTCCGGATAATATTTGTTCTTATCGGAGTAAAAATTGCCAGTACGCGCGGATAAAAATTATTACATATCTTGGTAGTTTTTACAAATATTCTGGATAAAAATTACTGTTCCAGAATGGTAAAAAATACTAACCTTACCTACAGATTTCTTCCACGCAGAGGTTAATACTCCAAAACACTCGAGTGTTGCCGTAGCTCTAGCCTTCGGCCAGGCTACGCTGTACTTTTGGATATTTTAATTTTTAAAATTTTTCAACTAAATTGCATGGAAAAAATTTGAAAAAATTCATACCCAGTCAGTATTATCACAATTAAATTTCGCAAAATATTGATATTTTTTCAAACATTTCCCTCTGATAAATAAATAATAAAACTTGCTGGCGAAACAGTGGATTATTTTTTATGTGGTGTCAAAAAAATTCTTGATTTTTTCACATCTAGTGAAAAAAATTCAGATTTTAATCTTTGATTACAATGGAAATGTTGATATTCACATAAGATACTGGGTTAAATCCTGATTTTTAAACATTTTTTCTTTGCAAAACCAAAACGATAATTAAATTGAAAAAAAAATTAGAATTCCGAATCTAATCGAGTTTTCTGCCATTTTTTTTACAGTTTTCAATAATCTTTGAATTTACCGTAAGGGTAGAGCTACTTTAATAAAATTGGGTGAATAAAAATTATTCTATGAATTTTATAACAATTACCAGGATAACTATAATTTTTATCATTCACATAGATATTTTTTGTCTTCGTCTATATACATTTTAACAAATGTATAGACAATTTTTGGTTCCTTCGGCGAAAATTACCACACGGAAGGGTAAAATTTATTTTACATCTGATAAATTTTATTATTTAACATCAATTTTCATCGAACTTCCAGTGATAAATCAGACGAAAAATTTCAATAATACATGTTTATCCTTCTGAAAGGGTAATTTTTACCAAAAATTTTTCTTCGCGTACACATCAATAAATTGCTTTCCTTCGTCATCTACAACCAGTTGTTGAATTTCAATAACTTGTTTGGTAAAATTTAACAAGTAACTAATTAAAATTCAGAAAAAGATTTTTCAATTTCATTCGACAACCATTTGTTAAATATTCAATGAACGTAAGTCAATTTACTTGATGGATCAAATTTAACAAGGAATTGTAGATTATTGAAAATATCTTCTAGGGGAGACATTGATCAATTGTCAAGGTATAAATTATTGCAGGATTGTTTCCAAATGTATATCTGCCCTCACCATCTACCTTGTAGGGAAAAATGATTGAATTTATTGAATTAGAGGTATGGTAGCTCCTGTCATTTTTCCCTCCAGATAATGGAATATGCATCCATGAAAAAAACTGACGAACGTTAATTGAAAATTTAACAAAAGGTTGTCCAATGAAATTGGAAAATCTGTTCTGAATTTTAATTAATTAGTTGTTGAAATTCAACAACTAGGTGGTGAAATTCACTAAATAATTTTCTCCGTGGAAACAATCATTCCATTTCTAACTAATAAAGTATTTACTTGCATGCAG